ATATAAAATAATGGAAGCCTGTATGAATAACTACTTGAAATGTATCACCATTCCAAAAAAATGTTTCTTATTAAATTGTTTTCTCATGTAAAGAGTTTGTAGTTGATGTTAAAAGCTAGTAATTATTCATGCCAAGGTAGTCTCATTTCTATTTATTACTATACATACATACATACAGTCTACTCTCTCTATAACGACCACTAAGTAAAATTTCTCTATAACAAACTTCCCTTTGTCCCCATTTCATTTTTTTATAATTAATTTCTCTTTCTATAACAACCAATAGCAGAGAAATTACATATAGGGACAAAGGGTTCATTATAGAGAGAGTGAACTGTACATACATACATACATATAATATAAAAATGAAATATTATTAGTACAACCTTGTCTTATAAAATTCTAATTTTTTTTTATAACCCGATAGCTACTAAGGTTAACTTGAAGACTGTTCATTTAGTTTTCCTTAATTTAACAAAAACATATAGTAGAGGACAAGAATTCATAAGTTTACTTATAGAATTCATAACATATGTTGAACTTCACATTACCTTTTTAGTAAAACCTTATTAACAAAAGTTATTAAAAGCACATTGTTCAATAGTTTTAATCCCAGAGAGTATCCCTTAAATTCATCAAAATTCCATCCATATATGGACGGAATTTTGATGTAACTTCAAACCCCCCAGACTAAAAAATATAATAATCAATTATTTATTTTTTTGAATTTTTTAATAGAGAAAAAAATGTAATTTATGTCTATTAACTTATTTTGGTTTAAAAAAACTTTTTTGTGAAACTTTTGTTAGTAGCAACATAAACACATTTTTAAAAATGCAAAAAATTTAATCAATTTTTGGAGTCGCTATTATCTGGAAAATTTACCACATCAATGTCACATGAATAAGTGTTAAATATGTGAAAGCATGTTGCAATTAATAAGTTTATTTATAACAAAAAAGCCACTTTGTAAATACAACTTCTGATTTTTATATATGGTAAAAATTTTGTATTTTTAAAAATCTTGAGGGAAATCAAAAAATTTAATGTAAAAAGCCAGTTTATGATGGATTTTATACTTGAATTTGGTATTATTGTGTACATTAGAGTTAAAGACATGCAATTTATAGACATGTAATTTATACCATACAATTTATAGTCATACAATTTAAAGTGCACCAATGCGAAGCCGTAAAGATTCAGAAGTTTTCATTTATCTACCTACTAATACAACATACACTTCAGTTCTTACGATTTAAAGTCATGTAATTTATAGTCATACAATTCATAAAATCATGTAATTTTAAATTTTTTTTTTATTTACAAAGTATATTGAACTTGTGTTATTTTACTAAAAAAAAACAGACAATTTTTATTAGTGAAAGAAAGAGAAACAGGGCTTCAGATAATATGTTAGTTCTTTTCAGAAATTCACTCTAAAGAATATTTTTGGAAAAGTGCATAAATGACTATATATTTAGGTTTTACAAGCTTATATGGTGCAAGTCACTTAGTTGCTGAACTTTTTATTGGCTGTGTAGATCCTATATCCTCTCCAAAAATGGAAATGTATGACCCAAAAAACAAATCATA